TTCACAAATTGATTCATGTGATGGAGAAAAATGGGAAAGGAAGAATTCATGGTTTTTTTCATTATTCACCTTACATCACAAAGAAAAGTAGATTTTTAAGGGTATAACAAATGAACTTAAGAAGCTATGCTTTTTTTTTTGTATCAGAAAATTTAACTGTGTACTTTTTTCTGCCTTCTCATATCTGTGCCCATGGAGTAACTCTAAAAAGGATCTCTGTGAGGAAGATGATTAAGATGTGATCTTGTGATCCTCCTGACTGAAAGGATGTGGACGAAAATAGCTCATGCTTATCCCAAGAGAATCTGGGATAAGAGTGGCTTGCACTATCTTGCTAGTTGCACAATTTCTTTCTCATTATTGCCTTGAGAACTCAGCATCTCTCTGACCACCAAGCCTCTTTGTGGCAAAGAAAGTTAAACTGGAAAGGAGATTGTCAGATAATTTCAGAACGTTGTGACTTTCACCGTTTCAAAGTTGATACACCACATGTACTATAAATAAAGACTATCACAATGGTTATGATTAAAAAAGTAGAGCTAATTGCTGTGCAGCCTGAGGATAATAACAGAGAACAACAGAGAAATAGGGTTAAAAAGCACATTATATTTTTAAGCTTTTGAGGACTGTTGTTAAAATACAGCTCTATTTTAATGGTTGAAAGCCAAAAAGTATAACTAAAAGTAGAAAAGTTCTACGTTATTGAACTTTTTAAAATTTACTTTTTAATTATGAAACATAACATATACAAAAACGTCCGTGTAACATAAACGCTCAAATAACCACTATCCAGGGGCAGGTTTAGAGATTTTTTTTTTTCAGTGCTGAGGATGGAAGCCAGGACTTTGTGTATGGTAGGCAAGTAAGTGCCCCACCACTGAGCTACACCCACACCTCTGTATTAGAGTTTTTTAACCAAGAGTCCACTGACACATTGCATCTCGGAGAATTCTCTGAAATTATGTGCAAAATTAGGGGCTTTATGCATTTCTGGGGTGACAGACTCTAGAGTTTCTTCTTGGAGCCCTAGAAGTGTTCTCAAATTTTCCATATCGATGGGCACAGTAGGATGAGGCTGGCTCTCTGAATTAGTACCTTTGCCAGCCCAGGTTAACCTCTTACGTCTTCTGAGTGCTGGTTTCTGAGTCTGTAAAGTAAAATGACAACAGTTTGCTCTCTGTGGGACTGTTTTAAGGAACAGATGAGTGATTATCAATTTGTGAAGTAGCTTTGTAAACTAAATTCCTCTTTTTTTTTTTTTTTTCTGAGACAAGGTCTTGCTATATATAACGCAAACTGGCCTTGAACTTGAACTCTCAATCCCCCTTCCTCTGCCTACCAAGTGCTGGTATTACAGGTTGAGCCACTATCCTAAAGCACTCTTTCTAATGTTAAGTATGTATCATGTTAGTGGTTGTAAAACCTAACTTTGGTTTTTGCAATCTCTCAGTCCCTGGAAGCTGCTTTCATTGATCCAGCCTGAGTTAAACGCCTAGTCTAGTCTCTGTCTTTATAATTAGTTGGTAGATATTAGACTAAACAATACTTCTCAAGCTCATCTGGACTGTTCTTCCCATGCTGCGCCTGAGCTGAGCAATCTCTGAAGGAAATTACCTAAGTGGCAGACTGCTTTTACTTGAGCTTCATGATCCTAACCCTCAGATGAGCAGGCATTCAGCACTTCCCAAAACTGCTGAGAGTTACTAAGATTTTTGAGTGAGCCGGCTCTCCTGCCCCACTCCGTGATTAATTCCCACCATCTTCTCTCTAAGGCTATGCAAGATTGCACTCTGGCCATGACAGAGTAACAAGGATTGGTCATAATTCCTGCCATGAACAACTAGAAAAACTGCACAAAATATATAAAGCAATTGTTTTCAGATATTGGAAAATCGCACAGTAATATGATAGCAGAGGAAGAGGAAGCAAGCAAGTTAAACACATGATTGTCCCAACTTTCTGAATGGAGACAGTTTCTACATCCTGGGCACAGAAAAGTAAACCCAGTTTCTGGGGACCTGGGTGAGTGGAAGAGAAAGAGATCAGAGCTCAAAGATGCTGAGGGAGCTGGGATTTTCAGACAGAGTTTTGGAAAGGATGAAGCTAGGTAAACAAACAAAACACCACCATAAATCTGAGTTTTTGCTAAGTACTTGGTTGTGTATGAATAGACTGAAAATCCACACAACTCCACATAGTATGACTTGGGAGTTGTAAGCTAAATAATTTCCACAGCTCACAGAAGATGGGGAGACATTCAAGTTCTGACCAGCCAGAATGAAGAAACCTCCATGAAAACCAAAGAGTTCACTGAAGATCCTGGAGTCTGAACTTAGTTGGAGAGCAAAGTTATCCTTGGAGTGAAATATTTCGTAGACTCATCCCTGGCAAAACTTAAATACGGTGCTCTAAGGAATCAAATTGACCCTCAAATAACATAACTGGCTGAGGGCAAAAATGCCAGCACTCTTAAAGGGAAAGAAAGAGTTCAGACATTCAACTAGGATAACACAAAAGTCCAGCATCCAATAATGAATAATTAAACATGCTAACTTACTTTTTAAGACTTTAGAAAAAAGGAAAGTGTATGGCTCCCTCTTCAAATATTTGTATTATTATTCAGTAATTTTGCTATATCATATCACCTTTATTTTGGCTGTATGTCTGTAGCATATTTGTATACTCAAATACTCAGTCTTTACAAATACCCACTTTCTTATCCTAGTTATGTATTTTAAATTTTGTTTTCAAGATGCTTGTAATTCCAGTAGTTGGGAGCTGAGGTAGGATAGTGAGTTTGATCCTAGGCTACAGAGCAAGTTCAAGTCCAGCCTAAGCTATATAGTGAGAACCTGCCTCGAAAAAATACAATAAAAAATATGGTTACCAATCATAAGAAAACACATACTCCTCACAGAAAATATAGAAATACCAGGAAAAGTATGAAGAAATAAAAAATAATTTACCCATAATTCTATCCTCAGATCCAAATACTGATGTGATATTAATGTTGACTTACACACTTTTTTTTTTCTTTGAGGTGCTGGGGTTTGAACTCAGGGCCTACATCTTGAACCACTCTACTAGCCCTTTTTTGTAATTTTTTTTTTGAGGATAGGGTCTCACAAACTATTTGCCTGGCAGGCTTCGAACTACGATCCTCCTGATCTCTGCCTCCTGAGTAGCTAGGATTACAGACCACCAGTATCTGGCTACACTTTTAATATATTATATGTATGTGAACATAGTTGAGAGCATACTGTACATAAATTTTTTCTTTTGGATATATAAAAATATAAGACAAACACAAGGTTTTTGTTAATGTTTTTAATGCCTACTTAGTATTTCATTTTATTAGGTGTTTAGATTTCCAATATTGTGCAGTTATAAATCTTTCTACTCTGAACATGTACTTTTTTTTTTTTAATGATGGGACTGGGTTTGAACTCAGGGCTTCCCGCAGGTGCTCTCCTGCTTGAGCTACATCTGCAGTGCATTTTACTTTGATTAGTTTTGGAGATGGGGTCTCCAGCCATAATCCTTCCAATTTCAGACTCCCATGTAGCTAGGATTACAGCCCTGAGCCACCGGTGCCTGACCTGGACATGTGTCTTAACATGAAGTTCATCCACATTCCAGGAAAAGTTTCTAGCAGGAGAAAAATAAATAAAATCCTTTTATACTATACTATGGCTTGGGTATTCTTGAGTTTTTGTTTTGTGTTGTTTTATTTCCTAGTAACTTGAGACTACCCTTAAGCGAAGTATATTATGCATGTTTAAACTTTTGAGAAAATTATTAAAAATAAAACTTCAGCAGGGTGTGATGGTGCATGCCTGCACTGCCAGCACTGGGGAGGCATGAGGCAGGAGGATGGCAAGTTTGAGGCCAACCCAATAGCGCGATCTTGTCTCAAAAAGAGAAAAACAACAACAAAAAAACTTTGTTGCTTCATTCTGTGCTTCTAAAGTGTTCAATCCTAGGTGTGTGTGTGTGAATGTGATCAAAGTACATTATGTACATGTATGAAAATGTCACAGTGAAACCCATTATTTTGTACAATAAACATCCTCTTAAAAAATTGTTTCTCACTTTCTGCTTGAAGATGAGTGTAAGGAACATGAAAAGGGACAAAACGTCATCATTCTAGACAGGGACATGCATATGTGCTTTATTTATTTTCGAGACAGGGCTCACTATGCAGCCCACCCAGGCTGGCCTCCAACTGCAATCCTGTCTCAGCTTCGGCAGTGCTGGGATCATAAATACACCACGCTGTCCGCCATTCTTGTGCTTCTTGAATGCAGTTTCTTGGCGTCTTGGAGTACCCCGCTACAGACTTCCTTTGAGTAACAAGAGTGAACTAAAACAAAACTGCATTACTTTTTAACACTAGATCCTGTTACAACCCTTCCGTTTTCCCCTCCTCTCCAACTGGCTTCTCCCGGCCCACCTCCCCCGTCTCCTCCTTTTAGACGTCCCCTGTGTGTCCCCCCCACAACCCCCACAGCAAGCTAATCTTTAACCAGTCTGTGTTTGACTACCTAATCACTGAAGTTACAGACCGAATCTTTTCTGGGCAGGGATTTGGGTCCTTCTGTTGTTTCTGACCCTTCCCGCCCAGCCTCAGGCCCGCCCCACCCCTTCCCACTGGCCCCGCCCTCTCTCAAGAGCGTTCTATCTCCATGGTTACGCGGCCGTCGTCCTGAGAGCCTAGCAGCGTCGATGGTGCTGCTAGGGTTCGGGGCGGGATCGGCTTGTTGCGGCTCCGGCTCCGGTCTCTGACCAGGGTCAGCCCACTGGGGGCTCTGCGCCCTTGAACTGTAGGTGCACGCCGCGAGCGGCCTAACGTCGGGCTGAAAGCAGAGTGAGGCTGCTGGAGGACCCCACCGCCCTAAGCGGAAACAGCGGTCACTTCCGGCCGGAGGCGCCCAGGTCCACAGGTCAGACCCTCCCCACCGCACGGCTCCGGGGTCGCACTTCCGGCCCCTGCTGGGCGTCCGCTGCGTCTTGGCGTTCCGCGAGGCGTCCTTAGCGACCCCAGCGCGTGGCGGACGCTAGGAGCTTCCACGCTCGTGGGGCTCAGCCAGCGTGTGTGCTCGCTTGTCCCAGGTGACTGTTGGAGGTGCCTGCCTTTGCCATGTTCCTAACCCCTAAATACAGCGATCACGCAGTCCTCACATCTCAGGAAAAGGTAGTAACAGTATCCTGTTTTCCTGAGGAGGAAAATGCCGCATAGCCAGAAGACGGTGGGGTCGCAGCTGAAATCAGGCCATCAGGTTTTCCTGGACAAAAAGCCACCTGCTGCTTTACCGGTCCCCAGCATGCTAACAATGCAAAGTTTACTTACTTTTAACTTTGCTTTTGCTGCACACTTACGTGCCACGTTCCCCTGTGCCAGGTTTCTGACACTCAAGAAAATCAGAAAGCTTGATTAAAAGCTGCCACACTTTGCTGGTCTATAATAAGTGAAATTATTAATCAGGAGTTCCTTTTTTTGACATGGTGCGTAACACTCATAATATATATATTTTTGCTTTTATGTTTTTATTAAATGGAGTCCATATTCCAACTTGGATGTGCAGAATTCGATGATGGAGCAAGAACTTTTTTCCAAAGTTCTGTTACTGTTATGAAAGGTTATTCAGCGAATGTGCTGGAATAAGCATTTCCTTTTTCAAGCTGGACTCAGCCACCTATACAGATGCAGGAGATGGCTTTCTCATTAATTCTTTCCTCCCCTCCCAATACTGCTCAGCTTATTTTTTTAAATTTGAAAATACTGCATATAAATTACTTTTGATGACCACCATGATTTAAGAGGAAATGGTTCAGTCATTTGACGTTTCAGTTGCTCTTTGTTATCAGTAAGATCTTTTTTTCATTTATTAAAGTTGCTTTGATTAATTACTCTAGAACAGAGATTGACATATGAAAAGGGACCGTGGTAAACATTTTAGGCTTTACATTCACAAATTCTCAGTCCTTTATTTAAAAAAAAAGCCCAACAGGAGGGGCCTAGGTGCTAACAAATAGTAATAATTTAAAAGATCATATTATGATAACAGTGGATAAATTTGAAGAGGCAAAAATAATGTGAGTGCTTTTTTTAGCCAGAATGCCTCTCACTCAAGCTGAAAGTGTTATAAAGAATATCATACGAGAAATAGGACAAGAATGTGCAGCCCATGGAGAGATTGTGTCTGAAACTCTGGTTGCTTTTATGGTAAGAATGATTATTTTTACAAATTATTGCTTTAAAAAAAATTTTTAATGTAGTGCCCATTTTTTCCTCAAAATTCTGTGAGGTTTCCTACAAGTTGTGTGAGGTTTCACACAACTTTAAAATATCTTTTAAAAGTCTATAAAACATGTGTGTTCAGATTTATAGTGATGGATTTAGAAGCCCTTCACAAGTTTTAGAAACACCAGTAATGTCTGCTGTGGAGAATTTTTTTTAACACATTTTTGTTCACAGTTGTAAAAGTCACTCATTGCTGTGGTTTCTCTATCCTTGCTTTAGTTAATAATACACAATGGAAATGTGATAAAATATACCATAGTTTCTCAATTTAAAATTTAACCTTTGTTTCCAACCTGTTTGCTCATGTAATTTTTCTAGCCCTATATTCAAGTTTGATATTTATTGCTTCTCTTCTTCAACTTCTAATGAAGGGGTTCATGAGTTAGGTAGTAAGAAAAATAGCTGAAAAATCAACCCTTGAATAATCAGGATGTATGTAATTGTTTTAAATGGAAATGTAAAAAAATAATAGAAATGTGTTAATTTCATAATAATATGAAACATAATTGATTACTTGTTGGATTCTTGTCCTATTCTCAGGTGAAAGCTGTAGTCCTGGATCCAGGTAATGGCTTTAACATGGATAGAACCCTCATGAAAAGTGATGTGCAGAAACTTGTTAAGGTGATTATCTGACAGTGCTCAATTTTGGAATTATTTATTTTTAGTTTCAAGTATGGTATTTGTGTCAGCTGCATGAAAAATCAGTGGTGCAAATAAACTAGAGATTATTTGTCTTATAAAAGTGTCTGAAGGTGCATAGGCTGTTGTTCTTGGCTTCCTAGGCTACCATCCTTGTCATATGGCTTTCATCTAAGGTTACAAAGTAGTTATCCTACTTCTAGGTGGAAAGAAGGGGAAAGGCAAAGGGCAAAATGTGTGCACCAATTGGACCTGTCACTTTCTATCCAGAAAGTAATTGTCCTTTCAGAATTCCTCCCATCTGCTTACATTCATTGGCTAGAATGATAGGACTATGAGTGACCCTGGAACATTGAATGTGATTTTCTTTCTTAGTAAATCTTTGCTCTAATCCATATTGGGGCTCTGTATTAGTAAGGAAGGAGGAACATGTATATTGGGGAGGTAGCTGCATCTGTGATTTATTTCAGTGATACCTTGTTAATCTCTTACATTGAGAACATTATTAGCTGTTCTGTCATATACTGTAAAGTCAAATAGTTCTAAATCAAGATTCATATAAGTGATTCTTTGTTATTGGTTTTTCAATGCTAAAGGAAAAGTTAAAACCAAAGCAAAATAATAAAGCAAGTATATATGCCAGAAAACCAGTTTTAAGAAGTAATGAAGGCAAGTACTTTAGATATGGGTAATTTTGTTCATGTCTCAATTATTTGATTCATTGGAATTTAGTTGCTTACTCTGTATTCCCTAAAAATTCAACATTTTTTTTTCCTTGGCTTAAGGAACTTAATTCATTTCTTTACACAAAGAACTTGAAGCAAGCTTTCTCAAACTTGCATATAGGTATTTTCTGGGATCATGAAAATAGCAGGGGAAAATATCATCATCCCCACCTTCTCTCACCACCAGCAAGTCATCTAGTGAAGAACAGGTCTGTCTGTAGATGCTGCAGGGGTGATGAAGAGAATTCAAAGCCTGGGCTGAGGAATATGTTGGTAGCAGTAGAGACTCCATGATTCCATAGGATAGCCTACAGCTGGATCTTTCTGGCTGATTTTAAATGTGGTGTAAAGCCTGTTGTTAGCCATAGAAGTAATGATTGTGATGGTCAGCCAGAAATTTTATTGGACGGCTGTGGAGGAGCCTCAAGGAGGGGAAGTAAATAAGTTTTTCTCCTTTCTATGGCTCAAGAAGAGTTTTCATTTTGTCTCCCAACTCAACAAACTTGAAAAGACTAAAGCTCAATATACTTTTAATATGACAGGTGGGTAAATTCTCAATTGTATAATTCAAGGAACAAAATTTGTTTCCTTTTTCCTCATTTACAATCATGTGGATGAGCTAATCTTTTTATTTGTAAAGTCTTCTTTTAGAACAATGCTTCTCTACGTGGAGAATGCAGGTGCATTTGTTTCCATAAAGACACAGTGTGCTCATTCTTGCATTCCCCTTGCCTCCTCCCAGGAGAAGAGGACTGGTGCTCTGGGAGGTGGGTGGAGAACTGTACTGCTCATGCCTGGTAGCAGGGAATGTAGAGCCTAGGAGGGAGGAGGGAAGGGAATGGGGAGCCAGGTCAGGAAAGGAGAGGAGAGAAAGAAAGAAAAATTCAGGCTGGTTATCCAGTCTAATGAGATAGAGAAGGGGAACAGGCTATCTTATGTGGGGTAGAAAAACTGGAGAAAACAGGCCAGAACAAGGAATCCTGAAACAAGGTAGAAATGGAGAAGTTTTCTGAGGAGAAGAGAGTAGTTGCAGTAGCTTTTCATAAAATGCCTGTCACCTCCAGCATCAGCAGAGTGTTGATCAGGCCAGATGAATAGAACCAGGACTTCTAGGAGAGTTCTAGACTGGAGTGTGAGTTTGGGGCAGCATTACCCATATTTAGACTGTGAAGACTAAGCAAAACATTGGACTTCTTGCCTTCAGCTGGACTATTAGTGGCCTGGGTGTGGTGATGTAAGCTAGTTAAAGGGAAATAACTTACTGTTTAATACCTGTTATTGGTTTGGTAAGCTGTAAAGCCCGAAGTTCTCAAGGAGGAAAAAGATAATAAAAGGGGTTGTTGCTGGATAAATACTAGGAACCACTGCCTTGATATTTTACTTTATTTTTGAAAATAACTTAGTAAATACTTGTGTGTTTCAGAAAATGTAATAGAAGCATTTGTGGGCTATTTATTCTTTTCTAGTTTTGTGTGGCTCGGCTATTAGATAGTAAAAATCCATCCCTGGACACCATTAAGATGCAAGTCTACTTTGATATGAACTATACAAGTCGAGGTAACATACATACCTATTTGACACTTTAAAAATGTTTTTATATTGCATTTCAGGTAAGAAAAGTTCATTTGGTTGACAATGGGTTTAATTATTTAGTGAAGTTAAATTACTTTTAATAGTTATTTTTTCAGTAATGGGGTTTGAACTCAGGACCTTCAGATAAGGTCTTGTGTGTTTGTCCAACATCGAACTACAGTCCTCCTATCTCTGCCTCCCAAGTACCTAGGATTACTGGCATGAGCCACCATACCCTGTTGATTTTATTTTTTTGTAGCACTGGGGTTTGAACTCAGGGCCTTGCACTTTGCTAGAAAAGAGCTCTACCATTTGAGCCATACCCCCAACCCTTTGTGCCTTAGTTTATTTTTCAGATGGGGTCTCTGCTTTTGTCCAGGTCCAGCCTTGGACTGCGATCCTCCTACCTCCACCTCTCACTTAGCAATGATTACAGATGTACACAGCCATGCCTGGTTTGTATTTTGAGATAGGGTCTCATCAAGTTTTTGCCCAGGCTGGCCTGAGACTTCAGTTTTCCCATCTCTACTTCCCATATAGATGGGAAGAAATTAATTTTTTTGTTAATCTCTGGAAATGTTTGAACTTTGATATGTTAGACAACTTTCTGTTATTGTGACAAATATCTGAGATAGCTTAAAAAGGATAAAAGGTTTATTTTGGCTCACAGTTTTAGAGGTTTTAACCCTCGATCAGTTGGTCCTATTGCTTTGGCCTATGGTTGCACATCATGTAAGGAGCATGTGGACGAGCGAAGACATTCACCTTGTGTCTGGGAAATGAGAGAGGAAGAAACTGGGGTCCCATAATCCACCCAACCCAAAGACCTCCCACTAAGGCTTCACCTCTTGAATGTTCTGCCACCTCCAAATAATACTAGGGGCTGGGGACCAAGGCTTTACCACATGTATCTTTGACAGACAGTTATTGAAACCATAGTATTTGAATGATATAAAAATGTTAGAAAAGGTAAATGAGAACAACAATGGCTTTGTGTTAAAAATCAATTTAAAGTTTTGTGTTCGTAAAATTGTTTTTCCAAGTCTGCTGCTTGTTTATCTTTATGGCACTAATATGTAAAAAGCCCATTGAAGTTAAAATTTTTTATTTGTAGATCTTTTTACTCCTGGTTTATTTTCTCATAATACTTACCTATCTTATATATCTACCCCAACATGAGATGAAAAGAGATATGGAAAATTTTGTTTAGAATGTATTTGATTATATAAATAAATTAATGCATATGTCAAAGTTGGTGACAAGAGAATAAGGAAAACAAATTCTTCTATAGATTGCTTCTGCCCCTGCTATAATGTAATCATTATTAATCATTTGGTGATTTTCTTATTTCTTTCTATACAGTAAAGTTTCAGTTATGTAAAATTATATCTCTTTTTTTTTGGCAATGAAATTTGAAAGCAATACAATAGTCATAGAATGAAGGAAATTTAATTTGCATTTTTAATTTGTAAAAGTTCTTTGTTTTTTTATGGTAAGATTGTAGCTATGAATGATGAAATGTTAATTATTGATCTTAGAATTATAATATATAAGAATCATTCTGTTGAGAACGATGGTCTCCTGCTACAATTAAGCCTATACTTCAGCATGGGACAGGAAGAAAGAAGAGGGATATAGTTCTTCATGCAATCATATTACCAGCTGGGCACAGTGGCTTATGCCTGTAATCCTAGTCACTTGAGATGCCAAGATTGGGAGGATCACAATTCAAGGCCAGCTAGGATACATAGTTTGCAAGATCACATATCCAAAATAACAGGAGTAAAATGGACTGGAGTTGTGGCTCAGGTGGTAGATCACCTGCTTTGAGAGTGCTTGCTTTGCAAGTGCAAATCCCTGAGTTCAAACCTTATCATATTATCAGTAATATTATTCTGAGGAACTCTGTTTTGGACTAAAATAGACACACAATTGAAGAGGAATAAATATAACTATAATATGTCCTTATATATGTTGTAAATAATATAGGACATACATTTATAATATATGTGTTTACATATAGTATTATATACACATATATGTATATATACATACATGTATTTTTATATATATGTATGTGTGTATGTTGTTGAAATGGTCTTTTGTACTTTCAGTTTAACTGGGAGGTTTTAGTCCTTTCTGATTGCTGTTTGAATCGTCTATTTGAAGACTTCCATGTTTTGACAAAGGACTCCAGTATAATACATGTTTCCCACTGGATTTTTCTCTTGAGGTTACTTGTTGGCAACTGTTTTTTTATTTCATTGTTACAACTTAAGAAAGTAGGTGTTTCTTGCAGTAGAATTGCCATACCCAAGCCCACTTTTCTCTGGTCCTTATGTGAAGAGAATTCTAAATATCAGATATGTGGAAAATTGTTATTAATTAGCATTGTGAATTCTAAATATCAAATACATGGAACGTTGTTATTTACTAATTTTAGAGGAATTTCTTGAAGAACATCACCGGGTCCTAGAGTCTAGATTAAGTTCTGTTAGCAGAGAAATTACAGATAACAGAGCATGTGTGAGAGAGGAACTAGAAAGCCTGTACCGGAAGATTGTCAGCTATGTGTTACTACGCTCTGGGCTTGGGTCCCCTACTGACATCAAGACTGTCAGAGAGGCAACAGGTAAGAAAAATATTTTTGTTCCATAAGTGAATATAAATGATCATTATATTTTATAAAATATGTTAAAATGTTAAAGATTGAAGTTTCCTTTTTGTCTGGAAAAATCAGCACAAATAAGCTAAAACTTATAGGTTCTTTTTATACTGTGTATCAATTTTGAACCTTAAAGTAACACCTCTAGAAAATGAAATGTTCATTTTATTAGAGCTGTATATATTAGAGAAACATTGGTAGTTTAAGGTATCAGGCTGACTTGGGTAACTGGGACAGCTTGAAGGAGATAGTTCATATATGTGAAAGGAATTAAGTCTGTCACTGTTTTTCTTCAGGAAATCCTTGTCCACTTTCATACTTTAAAATGAGAATAGACGTGATGTCCAGCTTTCCTATGACACTCTTTGACAATTTTTTTAAAGTATAGATTTTTTCTACTCAAAGTCTTAATTATAAAGTTTGTTCTAATACCCATTGCCAAAAATCAGCAATTTTTAAAAATGGATTTGAGGCAATGGCATTATCTTTTAAAAATTATTTTATTAGCATATAATAGTTTCACAGGGGAAACTATTATACTAACAATATAGTAACAATGTATACTATTATATGCATTGTGATATTTACATAAGTGCTTGCAATATGTCTTAGTTTGATTTACCCCCTCCATTTTTCTCCCTCTTCCCTCCTCCCACCTTTTTAGAACAAATTTCAACAGATTTCATTCTTCTATTTTCATGTATGGATACAATACGTCCACCACATTCACCCTCATTCCGCCTTTCCTTATACCCATCCACCTCCCACTGGTACCCACTTCCAAGAAGATCTGTTTCTCTCTCCTGTCCTTCATATTTTTAAAGTGTATATTGATAGCCCAAGGGGGTTTTGCCTAGGTACTTAAGGCCCTCACCCCCATTACTTACTTTATCACCATGCTCCCCCAATAGTCAACAACTGACAATACAGTTCATTATATTATATTATATTCATATACAGATGGGCTGTTTGAATATTTTTCATTCTCTAACATTTTCTTTACCTTTCCACCTCCCATAGTCCCTTCAGACAGATTCACTAATACAATCTTGTTCTATCCCTATATATATGTATGTGAGCATACATATGTATATATGATCATATATGTATTTATATATACATTTAACTTATAGGTCTAGCTTCCACATATGAAGGAAAACAATGGCATTATTTTTAGTAGCCCAGTTTTGCTATGTGATAAATTTTGCTATGTATTTTGTAATGAGGTATCATAAGATAAAGAATTGTATAGGTTACACTAGAGAGAAAAGTTCCTTAACTTTCTGCTGAAGGAAAGAAGAACCTTGTAATCTAAGTACTTATATATTTATTCTGTCATTTTGTTTTCTTTTTTGGGTCTGTTTTAGCTGCCCTACAGAGTGTTTTTCCTCAGGCTGAGCTTGGAACATTTCTAACTCTTGGCAAGAAGGACAAAGAATGCCAGCTGAAAGAACTCACCATGATTGTTACTGGAATTCGCTTATTTAACAGAGACTGTGGAAAAGGAGGAGAAGGCATTGATGATTGTAAGTGTATCATTAGATTTATTCTAAAACTTATGAATGTTTAAGAATTAACTTCACAGTGAAGAAAATAATATGCAACACACCACAGCATTCTGAGATTTAAGATTTGCAATTTTGAAAGCTGGGCATGGTGTAAGCCTGTCATCCAGCTACAGCAGGAAGCCAAAAATAGGAATATCATGGACCAGGCTGGCCTGGGCAAAAAAGTGAGACCCTACCTCCAAAATAACCAGAGCCAAAGGACTATAGGTGTGGCTCAGGTGATAGAGTGCTTGCTTAACAAGTTCGAAGCCTTGAGCTCAAACACCAGTACTGCCAAAAAGATCTGCAATTTTGACTGCTTCTTAGGAACAACTGCTGTTCATAATATGTAGCAAGACTTTCAATTTTATCTATCATGAAACTAGTGTAGGAAAGTGAGTCAGTGAAAAGGATGAGGAGGTGTTCACAGGGGCTAGTCTCCCCAACTCAGGGGAGCTTTGTGTTTAATCCACGTCAACTAAAGGAAGGAAAAGTCAGTGATTTAAAAATAAGAATCAAGGACTGGTGGAGTGGCTCAAGTGGTAGAGCCCCTGTCTACCAGCAAGCATTGGTCCTGAGTTCAAAACTCAGTACCACCAAAAAAAATCACCTGGAAAGAAAGCAGTTGTTGGTGCAGTTAATGGAATACAAAGGTACAAGGGAAGATATTTGCAAATCCATAAATTTAGGAACTTGTAGTAATATACATAATGCATTCTTTGTGTGTTTGGAAGACCTACCAGTAGAAGTAACATCTTATGAACTTGGTACTCTACTCCTTCAGGCCCATGGTGTTTTTTACCGTATTACTGCTCACTAGTTCACTACTAACTTAAGAGTGAATTTTTTCTTTTTTGTGGTACAGAGAATTGAACCCAAGACTTGCATGTGCTGGGTAGGTGCTCTACCACTGGGCTACATCCCCAGTCCTTTTTTATTTTTCTCCATTTTAAAAAGTGAAATTCTCATTCTTTATAAAAAGTTCCTTCCCTTTCAAGACTGTTCTGTTATTTTCAGCATCCAGTTGAGTTTCTTAAGAAGTATGCTTTTGAAATGTTTTTATAAGTAGAAAAGATATCTAAAAAGGGATCAGTGGGTTTTCTAAAGGAACTTGGTCAACAGCATGTCCATACCAAAGTCTGCCTTGTCTTTAAATTCATCTTTATTTTAGTGACAAAAGCTGATCTGCTTCAATTTTTGGTTATTGTCCTGACAGTTCTTTTGTTTGGAAAGGTTCTTTTTAAAAATCTTTTTGCAGTGCTGGGGTTTGAACTAGGGCCTACACCTTGAGCCATCCCACCACCCCTTTTTTTGTGATGGGTTTTTTCAAGGTAGGGTCTTGCAAATTATTTGCTGGGGCTGGTTTTGAATCGAGATCCTCCTGATCTCCATCTCCTGAGTAGCTAGGATTACTGGGGTGAGCCATAGGTGCCTGTTTTTTTTTTGGGGATTCTTATCTTTGTGGTATGAGACCCATGAAACATGTGTCTCATTATTATTAATTTGGTTGGGAAAAATGTAACTCAAGTTAATGCTTAAAATGTGTCTACTTTCTGTTTTGTTTTTTTTCCTTAGCTCTGGGAATTAAACCGAGGGCCTGTGCTTGCTAGGCAAGTGTTCTACCACTTGAACCACACTCTCACCCTGATTTGTTTTCTTGGAGTGCTAGGGATCAAATCCAGTGCCTTGTGCATGTTAGGCAAGTGCTATACCACTTTCTGTCCTCTTCTCCTTAATTGTTTTTCAGCTCTCTCATGTCTGTCTTGTTATATCCTTACAAACAGTGCCAGCCATTCTCCATGAAGCAATCCCAGCTACCACTCAGCACATTGATTCCCAACTTCAGATTGCCCAGGACCAGGCGTATCGCTACACAGCCATCCTTGAGAAAGTAATGAAGAACCCACTCATGAATAAGGAACTTCAGCCATATATGTTAAAGGAAGCACTGTATAATGTTCGACAATATGAGATTTTCCTTCAGATCATTTTGGTGAGTTAATTTCACAACATCTGGCTAATAATGCATTCTCTTTAGAACCAGGTAACTAAAGAGGCAATCTCAGGAACTGCTCAGTTTATATTACCTCAGTAGGGCCAAGACTTAAAATACAAATGGGAAAGTTAGATTTTTATTTTAGTGGAAATGTATTGGTAGAAGTTGATTTTACATTTGTTGATTCTAGTTAACGTGCTATATCAATGATATGTATATGTGTATGAGAGTAACTGTATTAATTTGGAGCAATTGTCAAACACATTTGGCAGGTAGTTAGTTGGCACTCAGATAATTTTTGTATAATTATATTTGCTCTTATCATAAAAACTAGTGGAAAATATCTTTATAGCTGGTGTTTTTAGATCTAATTGACAAGCCAAACTACTCCTAAAGAGTTAGGAAATATGTAAAAGTGGTAGTTGTAAACTTTTACAAAGCAGCAATGCCTTTCCTTTCAGACAGAAACTTACTCTGCCCTGAGTTCAGGGCTGGCAGAGTAAGAGTAGTAAGACTGCCTGTCTAGCAAGTGTGAGGCCTTTAGTTCAAACCCCAGTCCTGCAAAACAAAACAAAACAAAACAAAACAAAAAAACCAAACAAAAAACTCACTCTGAATTCTAAAACTAAAAAGCAGACATACAGATGAAGGGATTGGAGGCTCTCTCACCAAGGAATATCCCATGACACCCTAGGCTTGCAGGTAACATAGTTTGTTAACTACTCCTTTGTGTTGTCAGGGAAAACACTGTCTGTTTTTCCTCTGTTCTCACACCACAGTTAATACAGAAGGTAGGAGTAATCTCAAAATCATGTGAAGCTTTCTCCCCACCAGCAAGCAACCAATTTTGCAGTAGACACCAGTTACTCTTCTCTAATCCAATTCATTCTGACACTATCTAACTAGAAATGTCAGATCCCACAAGTTGAGGGCTTAACTGTGCCCCCAAATGCCAATCAATAAAGCCCATGCTGTTCTACCCATGCTTCTGACCAACCAGCTTGGGGTTTCTACAACCCCTTCCTTGGGTTTAATTAATCTGTTCAAACACCTCACATAACTCAGGGAACCATATTTACCAATTTATTATAAAGGACATTAAAAAGATACAGATAAGATGCCTAGGACAAGGCATGGGAAAAGGGGTATAGAGCATCCATACTCTCTCTGATGTATCCCTTTCAAGGAGCCTCAATGTCTTCATTTACCTGGAAGCTCTCTGAACCCTATACTCTGGGGATTTTATGGAGACTTTGTTGCATAGGCATTGTTGCTAATTGACTGGGTGGAGAAACTCAGGGAGATCTGTTTCAATTCTTCTCCTCTTTGTGCAGCATTCCTTCCTCTAGGGTATCAGATAGGACCCCCCCCAGGGTATGAAGAGAGTCTTATGATTTCCTGTTGGACAACTTTAGGTCAGGGAATTTTTTTTATGGCCAACTCTAAGACAGAAAAATGGGAAAATTCGTTTCTATGACCTACCTTGAGGAAGAAAAATTCTCATTTTTCTTGGGGAAGGAGTCATGAACCAAGAACTATGGATTTAAAATTAAAAAAAAGATGTATCACATCGTATCAACTACATGAAAGCAAGCTATTGTCTCACTGGTCACTGTTTACCTTTATACAGCCTTTACTTTCCAAAATGGTGAGTGTATAAGTGAATACTAATTTCTTGAGGGATAGAATAGGATGTGTTCTGGCCCCCTTTTCTTCTTAACTTGTATCTTAATGACTTGATATACTTTTGGAGGTACCTGGTCTGTCCTTTCTTTTGACCTAGGTAAAGAGAGCAAAGAGATACATTCTAAGGGCTTCATTGTAGCAAACTATGGTAGTCCTCATTGGCATACTGTTTAATTGCCTGTAGGAGAAAGGACTAGAAATCAGTTATTCAAAATCAAGTCATCCTGTGGTCCACACACATTGACTTTAGCCTCATGTAACCAGTCAGATACCAGGAGGATTTTATGATCAATTTGTCCTGAGTGTATATGGATCCATAGGAGTAGAATCTCCCATTCACTTTTGTTATTTGAATTTGGAGGGGATATTGTAAGAGAGAACATTGGGAAACTGTCAACACATGCCATAAGGATGTTCTAGAGGATATCATTCATTATAGAGTATTTTCTTCCAGCTTTAATTGTGAATCATACTCAACCAACTGACTTAGTCTTAAATTCTCATTGGAATTATCCCTCTCACAGATAGAAGGACAGTGAGTTAAAGTATACAAGTGAGTGTGGGCTGTGTAACCACATTGAGTGGATTCCCATGCAGAGTTTGCCATTTCTTTGTCCTGAAGGCAGTTGCTTAATTTCCCTGTGCCTTACTGTTGACATCCGTAAGATGGTCTGTATTAGTTGTCTGGTGTCACTATGACAAAATACCTGAAATAAACAACTTAAGGGAGAGGAAAGATTTATTTTGGCCCACACTTTCAGAGGATTCAGTCCATGGTGCTTGGCTCCATGTACTTGGTCAGAACATCAGGATAGTGGGAGCGTGTGGTGGAGGAGGTTCTTCATCTTGTAACAGACAGGAAGCAGAAAGTCGGAGAAGGGGAAGGAGGGAAAGAGAAGAGGGGGAGAGATAGGTGAAGGTGGAGGGGGGCAGAGGAGTGTGTCCAGGACAAGATACAGGCCCTAAGGAATGTCCCCAGCGACACACTTCATTCAGCAAGGCCCCAGAACCTCCCCAAATGACTCTGCCAGCTAGGGACAAAGCTCCCAACAAATGAGCCTTTTGCAGGCATAGTATAATGGAACCACATGTGGTCTCCACTGTGTAACTAATGTAGCACAGTGCCTGGCACACAGTTAGAAGTAAATAAATGGATGATGCTGATAATGTTGTTTATGATTTCCACTGTCATGCTTAGAGTATTAGCACAACAGCTTTGATTCCATTTTGGTAGGAGAGTAAGTTGAGAAGTATTTTTCTAAACAATATCTCATTCCCAAGCTCCTTGGGCTCATGTATTGAGAGTGTTTTAACTGTCCTAGCACTCTTCATGGTTATTTCTTACTGACTTTAGTTAGGATCAGGATAAGTTTTCTTAACTTTCTCTTTGCTGTCCAGAGAGTCTTTCTGCTGTATTGTTTTTTAACTATCCAGTCCTTCCCTGTCAACCTGTCTTGGTTACAGTTAAGGTTGGTTATTACAGAGTTGGTTTAACTAGTGTGTTATCTCTTGGTGATAAAATATGGGACTTCATCCTGTCTTGAAATCTATGGGAACCTTTTTAAAAGTCACATTATTTGAAGAGACATTAATAAAAAATTTGAAGTATTGATTTGGACTGTAAAAAATTGTCTCTAGACAAAGCTACATTCAATTTTTATAAACATTTAAAAAAATCCAGTTGTAGTTTAGATAAATAGTGAGTTGTTTTATGTTGTTCTGATCAGGCCTTTATCAGCTGCAGTAAAAAAATTCAAATATTCCGGAAAAGAAAAGGGAGCAATGATCACTGTTCACTGTAGCTGAGAGAACAGAATTCCATCCTCTGTGGGATGCAAGGCAGTTACCAAAGACAGAGTGCTGCTTATTGTTGTTGTGCAAAGAAAAGCTGTGTCTGACAGAGCATTTCATAAAACCCCTAAGTCATGATTCTTGTAGAACCCCCTCTAGAGTCTTCAAGGTCTGTTCATAAATGAGGTGATGAAGGGCATCTTGATTATTACTGATAATGCAAGTAGAAAAGTCAAGTGAAATGTGTGCTTATTTTGTTTTCATCGCACATTTAACATGGGATCTGTCGCTCAACACATTTCGAAGAGTATACAGTGTTGATAACTAGAGCCACTGCTTTGGACAGAGCTCTCTACAGTGTGTTCATCTCACGTAACTGAAATTCATAGCACCTTGCTGTTTCCCCTTCTCTCTAGCCCCGGAAACCACTCTACTTTGCATCCATGAGTTTGACTACACTTGTTGAAAATTGTTCATGGAAGAAAGGATAAAGAGCTTATACATTTTTATTAAACAACAAAAAAAGAGGAGATAAAGAAACATGCTGGGGTCATATGTTTTCCCTAAACATTTGACTGTTATGAGAAAAAATTTTAAGTGATAGCACAGTAAGCTCACCTTCTTCACAGATTTGTTACATATGGTTTTGACCAAGCACGGCCAAAAATAAGTAAATAAATGAACAAATTAATCAATGACTAATGAATGAATGCAAATTAAAAGAAATTTCAAAACCAAGAATTTTAAATTCCCATGTGCACATTCCACAGTTCAGTTGATTAAGAGAAGCTCTTGGTCAGTCCTGTGTTATCATCAGTTTTTTAAAAATCATTGTATGATTCACTGAGTGTTTCTCTGTCCTTAATTTTGCAAAAATCTGCCTCCAAAAAGCAAATGGTGCAAATAAATAGATAAAATGAGGCAAAAGTGAATGTGCTTAATTTAAGTGATAAACTGAAAATTTGAGATTTGTTGAAAGGCAGCATGTTTTTAGCAGAAGTTGGGCAACATCGTGGGAAAAATGAATCAAGCATCTGCAGAACAGTGCTGAACACTATGCACCCAGAGCACACACGAGTTTCCTCTAGGGTGGTCTCCTTAGAGCCGGATGACCACAGATACCCAGAGTCTCCTGTATCTCTAGAAGACTAGCATTACAACAAAAACCCCACCCTTGTGAATAAGGTCTTTTTGGTAAAATGTAAATACAGTGATTGCTTTAGGACATTACTAGGAAAAGTGAGCAAGTTCTGTGTGCCTACCTACTCTGTGAAGAGACCCTGCAAACACAGCTTGGGAGCAGAGGCTCTAGAGCATATTTCATTATAGGTTTTACAAGTGTATCAAATGCAAGTTCTACTTTGAAGAATGTATGCAGACTTTCTTCTGTTTCATTTTTTCTTTTTTCTGTTAGTACTAGAGTTTGAACTCAGGGCCTTAAACTTGCTAGGCAGATGCTCTGCAACTTGATCCATACCCATAGCCTTTTTTGCTTTATTTTCAAATAGGGTCTTGTGTTTTTCATGGACAGTAATCCTACCTGTGCCTCCCTGTGTAGCTGGGATGACAAGCACATGCCACCATGTCTAGCTTATTGGTTGAGATGGGGTCTTCCTCACTTTTTTGCCCAGACTGGCCTGGAACCATGATCCACCCAGTCTCTTGCTAGGTAGGATTACAGGCATGAGCCACTGTGCCTGGCTCTGTTTGTTTGTTTCTTCTTGCTGATATACAAACCTAAAAAGTCTTTAAAGACTGCATTTTCACATTTCCTTACTAACACAAAACAAGGTGGGAAAAAACTCTATGGGACAGAAAAAAGACCTATTAAATATGATAGACACTATCATATGGGAGAATGAAACAAAAACAGAGAAGATACTTAAATATCAGTGTGAGTAAATTTAAAGAAGGATGCACATTCTGTTTATGAATAAAACTTTTGTTAGGGGAAACACAGTAACAATTTGAGATTTCTCTGAAGTAATTACTTTTGGGATTGTTTATTTTTGAACAGTTACTTCATAATTTAACCATTTTTGTTATTTAGAATTTATGTATCAGGGCTGGGGTATAACTCAGTAGTAGAGCACTTGCCTACCATGTGTGCAGCCCTGGGTTTATCCACAACACTTTAAAAAATGTCTAGAAAGAATAAAAGTACAGACACCTGTAGCATTTTCCTTTTCAAGTAAATGTCATTCTGCTGGGTGTTGTGGTGCTAAACTATAATTTCAGCACTCTGGAGACTGAAGCGGGACAATTACCAATTCTAGGCCATCCTGGACTACATAGCAAAACCCTATCTCAAAACAAAATAAAACAAAACAAAACAAAACAAAAACAAGAAACTGCCATTCTTTCACTCTGTGTGTGACTAAGTCACACCATTGTTGTTTCTGGTCTGTCCTGGGCATTGCAGTGCTGTAGGTAAAGGCTGGGCTGTGTACTCAGGCGGTTTACTCACCTTTCTTCTCTGCAGTGTTTTCTCACTGGTGCTTACCCCTTTTTGTACTTCTAAGTATATTTTAAGTGGCACGTAGCATCTAAGAACAAATGTTTGTAAGTATTTCAAATTCAACATTTAGCAACTTATTTTTAGATCACCATTGTGTCAAATATACAATGTTTTTCTTTTAATGCTTTGATTTTTAAGACTTTCTGGAATTTATTAAATCTTGGTATCTAAAGAGTTTTCAGAGCAACACTCATTAACTTTATCATTGAGGAATGGGAAAACCACAGCTACACATTTAAGAAATGTGAAATACCAGTACTGTTCTAGGTCCCAAGGGTATATGTAGAATGGAGTCCTTCATGTTCCTGAGCTCAGCATCACAGTGTCACTGTAACTCAGAGAAGGTAGGAAGCAGGTAGGACTTAACACACACATGACTTTTATACTGAAATTATAAAACTCTTAATGCAAGTTATGTTACCTTTCCAGTCAGATATAATTACTTGTGCTCAAGAAGTAGAAATGATGAGAAGGCAATTAGGAGCACAACTGGAACTATTAAAAATGACTGTAAAATCAAAGACAGCTGTCCCAACATCACAGGTCTTTGTAAGTATTTCTTATCAACTTTGACCTTTTTTTTCTTTTTGTGGTGCCTATACACATGCTAGACATATGCTCTACCACCGAGCTGTGTCTTTAGTCCTTGTTTTTTTTTTTTTTTTTGAGAGAGGGTCTTACCATGGAGGTTGCCCTAGATTCACCATGTAGCCCAGGCTGGCCTTGAACTTGTTATCCTTCTGCCTTTGCCTCTCAAGTGCTGGGATTCCAGGTGTGTGCCCACAACTTTGACCTTGTTAAGGGTTAATTTCCTTTTGAATCCTATAAAATTGGATCACAAATTCTTATAATTATATTCATTCGTGTTACACAAATTGATCCTGTTTGTGAAGGTTATGATGCACTAACAGTCTGCTGTATGTTGGGTGAGAACAATTTCTGCTAAAGGAAAGTGGATCTGTACTGTGACAGCCATCATACCAGCACTGGCCATGTCAACAGAAGTAACCACTGTGCAGTGTTTTACATGTTTTCTTAGCAGTTGGTCCGAAGTAGCCTCTAGCACACAGGTGATGTAACCTGTGAGCTTTCTGAAGAGACAGCTAAGTACTCTTTGTTTACCATGCACATACTCACTTTGACTTTCTCATTGTCTCTTCCATCTGGACAAATAAGAATAAAATTCACATGCAGTATGACATACACTATTTCAGACCAACAACTTTTTGCAGTCCTCAATATTTGTTTGTAAAAACTGGGCATAGTAATTCACTCCTGTAACCCAAGCTACTTGGGAGGTGTGGAGTTTGGGAGAACTGTGGTTTGAGAGCAATCCAGGCAAAAAGTTAGTGAAACTGGCTCTCAACCAATAAGCTAGGTATGGTTGCATACCTGTGATCCCAGCTATGAGGGAGGCATAGAGAGGAGGACTGCAGTCTGAGGTCAGTCCCAGGTAAAAACACTTACCTGAAAAATAAGTAAAATATGAAGGACTGAGGGAGTGGCTCATAGAGCACCCGCCTAGCAAGCATGGGTCCCTGAGTTCAAACGCCGGCACCATCATACCAGCATTGGCCGACAATGCTCCCCAAGAAGCAAAAACACCCAAGAAGCAGAAGTGACACCTGATTGATTTTATGTTTGTTCTGTAAGTCATTGCTCTTTTTTGTGAATTAAAACCACTTTATGCTTAACATCTGTAGTCACCAGGAAAATGCAAATCAAAATGATACTGAGATTTCATCTCACCTAATCAGAATGACTTTGTTAAGAAAACAATGCCAGGGGAAAAAGGAACCCATATATATGTTGGTGGGATTGTAAATTACTGCATCCACTATGGAAAACAGTATGGAGGTTCCTCAAGAAATTAAAAACAGAACTGCCATATGATGCAGCAATACCACTCCTTGGGATGAACCTGAAAAAAATCTAAGCAAACAAGAGAGATACTGCACATCCATGTTTATCACAGCACTATTCACGATAGCTAAGTTATGGACTCAGCCTAGCTGCCCATCAACAGATGAATGGAAAAGAAAATGTGGTACTTATACACAGTGGAGTATTATTCAGCCATAAGGAAGAATAAAATTATGTCATTTTCAGGGAAGTAGATGGAACTGGAGATCATATTAAGTAAAATAAAGACAAGTATTGCATATTTAATCCTTTAAGTGGAATCTAGATTTTTTTTTAAAGACATGAAAATAGAAGGGGACTATTTGGAAAGAGGAAGGGGACCTGTGGGAGAGAGAAGTGGAACAAGAAAGGTGATGGGAGTTAATATGGTCAAACTACATTATATACATGTATGAAAATGTTATGATAAAACCCATTAAAATGTAAACAAAATGTGGGGGGAAATATCTGGCCCATTGCTGACTTTGAGAAGGAATCCCCATGAAGCATTGCATTTCTACTTATCCAGAACACTTCTTGAGCACCAATTCTTGCTCCAGCCACTAGGCAAGCCTCAAATGAGTGTCGTTTCCCCATACCTCCCCCCCCCAAAAAAAAAAACCAAACAAACAAACCCAGCTTCGGTAAGAATTTAATTAAAAATTCACCCAGGTAAACAGGTCTCAGAATTCCTAGAATTAACTTTGACTAGCGTACTTGCAACTGCTTCATTTTTGGCAGGAGTTTCTACTGTGTTTTTTGAGCTCCTCTGGCTTTTTTTCTTTTGTTTTATTTTTCTGGTGAATTCACTTTTGCATCCTGCATGCCTAAGTCAACATGTTTTGTTTGATTGGCATGCCTAATTTAAAACATTTCTTGTAAATACCTTTAAGATAATTCTTAGACTGCAGTTACAGAGTTAACATGTAATGACTTTGGGCCCTTTTTCTGCCCATTTTTTTCTCTTCTGCTTACACTAAGCCAATTACCCAAGGTTGCTTCGGGCTTTGTTATTTCAGCCAGTCCTAGCAGGAATATACACATCAGAGAATTAATTCTCAGACTGTTTGGGACAGAAGGAAAAACATTAAAAATTTTTTTTTAAACCAGGCTGTTGCTATGAAAAAAAAAATTGACTTAAAGCTTACATAAGACTTGTAAATCACTCTACTTCATGACTGAAAATTTAACATAAGTACATCGCTGTTGATTGAGTTAATGTAAATTTGTTGGTAAACATCTCAGAATTGTTAATATACATTTTGCCTAGATTTCTGGTCAATCAGGACCTTGTTTATCACTTAAATGTAACTCCATTGCTTTGTAAGTTTCACGTACAAGTTTTAAGGCTTTTCTTTGGCAAGAAATTACTTTAAAGTGTTGGGAAAAAAATTTTTATTTCATTGATCTAAAACTTTACCTTGCTACTCACAAGACATACCCTATGATGTATCTTTATACTTTCCAGGTTTTTTTAGATCATGGTTAGGCTAGATAAATCTATAATGAATCTTATTTAGCTTTTGTCATTTTTTTAAAAAAAGAATATTGTCTCCCCTTAGCCACAGAAGGTGAAGAATCTATAAATCTTTTGTGGGTGATGAAATGTATTTGGCTTTTTGTGTGTGTGTGTGGTACTGGGATTTGAACTCAGAGCTTCTTGCTTGCTAGGCATATGCTCTACTGCTTAGGCCCTTTTTGTTTTTTGTGTTGGGTGTTTTTGAGATAGAGTCTTGCTTTTTGCCTGGGCTGGCCTCAAACTGTGATCCTCCTGATCTCTGCCCCCTAAGTAACTAGAATTATAGGTATGAGCCACTGTGCTCGGTGTGTGTTTGGTTACATTAAAAAGTCTTTTTTTTTGTAGTAGCAGGGAATGGACTCAGAGCCTTATACTTGCTAAGCAAATGTTCTATCACTTGAGCCATGTCCCTAGTCCAGTGTTTGGCTTGTTTTTAAGTTTTTTTCCTTGTAGTAACTATATAACAATCGAATGCTTTACAATAAAACACTATAGTTTATTTTTTTCATAACTTAAGAGTTGAAATTGTATCTAGAGTCTGTTGTCTGATTTTACAAGACTTTCACTTAAGGAAAACTCAATTTCTTTACAAATAACAATTGAATTTATTTTTTGAGAGTACAGTAATGGATGATTTTGTCACAGAATGTGAGTTTTTCTCTTCCTCAGCCCATCTTCATTGCACTGGCCAGCCTGTGGACTAGCTTTCAGGATGAAACTGTTTTGATTAGTGTCCTCAGTAATTTGACCACTCACCTGGAGCCATTCCTGGGCACCCATGAGCTTCTCTTTCCCGAGAAGATGATACAAGGTTTTCTCGATGATGTGACTGTGAAAACTGACGTGTGTAGAATAAAAGAACACATAGGTAATGGAAATGATCCATAATTTCCTCCTCTTTGTAGAATTCCCCCTAGAATAAAGCCAATCTTGTTTAAAAATTATTATTCTGCAGTTTGCTGATAAAGCATCTTGGTCATGAAATACTGATGTTCATTACAGAAAATGTGGAGAGCACAGAATATGTAAAACAAATTATCTTCATGTTGAGCAGTAACCATTCCTAGTGTTATTCTTGATGTTTTGGTCAACAGTGGTTTTCTGTGTATCCATGTTTCTGTTGCAGGATGAGAATCTTGGGGAATAATGTTTCATGTTTGCGTTAAAATGTTTCATGTTTGTATTAAAATGTTTCATGTTTGTATTAAAATGCTCATCAACTACATAAACTAACCGATGTGCAGAAGACTTTTTTAAAGTATAAAGAATACAATTGCTGGGTGCTAGTGACTCACACCTGTAATCCTAGCTATTTGGGGGCAGAGATCAGGAGGATCACGGTTGAAAACCAGCCTGGGCAACAAAAATAAGACCCTATCTTGAAAATACCCAGCACATAAAAAGGGCTGATGGAGTGGTTCAAGGGGTAGGGTGCCTGCCTAGCAACTGTGAGGCCCTGAGTTTAAACTGTAGTACCACCAAAAAAAAAAAAAAAAAAAAACGAACAAAATTGTATACCTTGTTATGTAAATCAAGTTAGTGAGAGAAACTTCCTTGACTCTGTTTACAGCATTGTCTTCTATTTTAAGATGCAGGGTCGTAGTCTATAGGAATCATATTCAGTGTATTTTGCCATCTCATATTTTTGCAAAAACTACCATCTTGAAGAAGATCCTGCTCAAAAGGTCTTGGACACCCCACAGCCAGTCTTCTGCGTTACTCAGCAGCAGCAGCAGGAGTTGCTGCTTTCCTGGCAACAGTGCCTCAGGCAGCTTTTTCTCTCAGCACTAAATCAGGCTTTTCTGAAATGGCCTGTCTTCTGTTCTTTATTCTGGAGAAAGTTTCTATTTCCAAATTTGCTCCAGCCAGTTATGTTGACCTTGGATAGTCACTGTGGTCACTCATTAATTTTTCTCTCTTTTTTGTGACAGTACTAGGGTTTGAACTCAGGTCTTCATGCTTGCTAGGCAGGGGCTCTACCAGTTGAGCCACACCTCCAACACTTTTTGCTTTAATTATTTTTTGGATAGCATCTTCTGTTTTTCCCCAGGGCTGGTCTCGGACCTTAGTCTTCCTATCAACACTTCCTGCATAGCTGAGGCCACAGGCTCATGCCACCATACCCAGCTTATTGATTGAATGGGTCTTGCTAATTGTTTGTCTAGGCCAGTCTTGAACCCCAATCCTTTTGCTCTCCACCTCTGTAGTAGCTTGGATTATACATGTCTACCATCTCACTTGGCCCTAACTCTGAATTCTTTGTACTAGTAGCCCTCCTTAAAAGTCTTGATTTTGTGATTGTCAGTATTTAGTCAATTGGGAAAATACAAAGCAATAAAAATGTATATAATTAAGTACTACTGATTTTTGAAATTTAGCCTCAATGAATGAAAGCTTTTCCTGTTTTCTTTAATTTTAGAGGAGAGAGTACATTTGGTGGATTTCAGAAAACTGGAATGGCTTTTTCCAGAAACAATAGCAAATTTTGATAAATTGTTAATTCAGTATCGTGGATTCTGTGGATACACATTTGCTACAACAGATGGTCTACTCCTTCCTGGTATAGTACTGGAAATAGTACTGTTCCCCCTCCCTAATTTTTTCTCTATGCAGAGTGCTCATTGTGACTCACTGGTTGACTTCTTAAAATGTTACGGAATCAGATGGTGATCTAGGAAGGGAGCTACAGAGATGATTCAGAGGAGGTACAGTGTAATCTGGTAGGCTGCCATGAACAAGAGATTGTAAGTGACAAATAATGCAATGTGCATTCAGGTTAAGTGTCATTATCCTGACTGCCTGGGAACAGAAGTGTTTCAGATTTTGGATTTTTTTGCATCTTGAATATTTGTATATACTTGATGAGATATGTTGAAGTGGGGCCCAACTCTAAACAGACTATTTATGTTTCATATACATCTTACACACAGAAGCACAAAGGTAATTTCATGCAATATTATCAGTGCATCTGTGTTTATACCCTAACCCATCACAGGTCAGATGTAGAATTTTCCACTTGTGGAGTCATGCAGGCACTCAATTTCAGATATTATAGCATTTCACATTTCAGATTAGGAATGCTCATCCTGTATTATGAAATATGGATGCTCCATATTATAAAAGAGGAATGATTCATGCCCATTGAAGGAGTCCAGAAATGTTTCACAGCATGATAAAAATATATCTTTTCCAGAGAAATAACTGAAAAAGCAACACATATTTGACGTGTTCATTTAAAAACATTGTCACTCTGTAGTTCCATTCTGTGAGTGCGGATCAGGATTTTTCCATAAGATAGACTCTTTTAAGGAAATATTTTGTCAAGTAAAATTGCTCTATGACATCTATATTATTAGAGCTTCTCTAAAATGAGGAAAACAGACATCGAGATGAAATAAATTATTCTCCAATGCTATGTGAAGTAGGACTAACAAGGAGCCTGCTAGGGCCAGAAAGAAAATGGTTGGATAGAATTGTTTATTATTTACTTTGTACCATTAATCCCCTTCTTTTTCTTCTTTCTTCTTTTCCTTACTACTTTTATGTTTTACAGTTGGGTATTGCTTTTTTTCATTATAACAAATTACTGGAATTATGTGTGTATATGCTAAAGAGGACATTCAAGTTGGCTTGTTTTTTATGGTACTACATTTTTCATGAGAGTAACAGAAGGTTTGCCATAGGGAATGGAGGTAGTAGTATTCTGAGGGCCAGTAAGGGTCACGGATATGGGGAGAAAATAATGTGGTAGTAAAAAGCAATGCAGTGCGAGTTGTTTCTTTTCTTTTTGGTGGTCTAGGGGTTTGAATTCAAGGCCTTGCACTTGCTAGGCAAGTGCTTTGCCATTTGAGCCATGCCTCCAGCCCTTTTTGCTTTAGATTATTACTTTTTTTAGATAGGGTCTCATTTTTTGCCCATTCCAGCCTGAGACCTTGATCTTCTACTTATGCCTCACACATAGGCATGGTCTATTATGCCTAGCTTATTAAGATGGGGTCCTGTAGACTTTTTGCCCAGGCTGGCCCCAAACTGTGATCCCCCCAATCTTTCCCTTTGGAGTATCTGGGATTACAGGTGTGAGCCACGACACTAGCTATTGGTGATTTCTTTCCTTCTCAATTGCCTTTCTTCCATCCTTACTTTCTTCCTTTCTGTTAAAAGAAATAAATAGGAAAATATTCTCTTAGCTGGGGCTGTTGTTCAAGTGGTAGAGTGCTGGCCTGCCAAGTACAAGGCTCTGAGTTCAAATCCTAGTATTGGGGAAAAAAAACCAAAGACTAAAAAAGTCCCAAAACCCAAACAAACAAACAAGCAAAAAAAAAAATCCCCTAATCCTTTAGTAATTTGTTATTTTAGTAGATTTGAAAAATCTGCCAGGCCAGGTATGGTGGTCCAAGTCTGTAATTCTAGCTACTGAGGAGGCAGAGATCAGGAGGATCATGGTTTGAGGCCAGCTCTGGCAAAACATTGGAGAGACCATCTGAACCAGTGGTGGGTGCAGTGTTGCATGCCTGCCATACCAGCCTATACTGGGAAGCACAATAGGAGGACTGCTGTCCAGGCTCGGGCATAAAGCAAGGTATATCTCAAAAATACTAATTCCAAAAGGGCTGGCAGAGTGGCTCAAGTGGCAGAGGGCCTGTCAAGCAACCGCAAGGCCCTGAGTTCAACTCCTAATACTGCCCAAAACCCAAACAAAAACTGTGAGGTGACCAAGTGGCTTTTCATAAAAGATCTTTACCCACATCTTTCATCTGGATAGTGGAAAGTATCTTTACATAAAATACATGTTTAAGTTATACTTAAAAATCTAAAAATATAACTTAATATGAATTTTACATATACATTTAATAATCTATAAGATTAAAAATTTATAACTATAACATTTTAGCAAAATAATGATATAACTGATATGTTAAAAATGGAGTATTGGGGTTGGGGATGTATCTTGGTGTTAGCAAGGCTCTAGGCTTCAATCCCCAGCACTGCAACAAAAACAAAGCAAAGTAACCTCCACCCCCCAAAAAAACCCAGGTGTGTATAGGAATGGCTCTGTGGGTTATTATAAACAGAGAATCACTTGATTTCATAATTGAAATTCAATTATTTTTCTTAATTTTCAGGAAATCCAACAATTGGAATTTTGAAATACAAGGACAACTATTACACTTTCAATACCAGAGATGCCGCATACTCATTTGCAGAGAACCCTGAACATTATATTAATTTAATTAAAGAAAAGGCCAAAAAGAATGCAGAGTTGATTCAGCTGCTGGAACTTCATCAACAGTTCGAAACCCTCGTTCCATATTCTCAGGTAAGCAGGGTCAGTGGGCGCCGGTGCCTCACGCCTGCAATCCTAGCTACTCAGGAGGATCACAGTTCGAAGCCAGCCCGGGCAAATAGTTCACAAGACCCTATCTTGAAAATACGCAACACAAAAGGGGCTGATGGAGTGCCTAAGGTGTAGACCCTGAGTTCAAGTCCTGGTACTGCAAAAAGGAAAAAAGAATTTATGACATTTAAAAGTAGTTTTTGGTATAGAATTGTCTCTTCCCAAGTCTAGGCAGAGACAAGGACAACTGAGCGTCTTTATAGGTTATTTGAAAAGGACTCACATCTGAAGATTAGAGACTAACAGAATCTACAAAGAATAATGAAAAGATAGGAATCAAATTGATTTGAATTTTTTTTTTTTTTTTTTTGGTGGAGATGCTGGGGAACGAATGATTTGAATTAAAGACAGGAAAAATTGGAAAGATAAAGACTTCATTTAGTTAAATAATGGAAACTCAGTGTTTCTGTAATGTAAAATTAGAGGAGACTGGCTCAGATAACATAGATGGTGACTTATACTCAGTTATGAAACAATGTAACAGGTGTGGAGCGATGTACCTAACTAGGCCTAACTGAGGGTGATGGGAGACGCAGAAAGGACACATGATAAACAAAGTTGGGGCCAGGTGTGTTGGGTGCTCAGGTGAAGACGCACAACAACCTTATTGCTTTTTATCTTTATTAATCTCTTCTCTTTACTCTGCTTCTTTTCCCTATCTTTTCTTTAAGGCCTTACTCCTTTACAGTTCTTTAAAACCTTGCTTCTAAAAGTCTTTTCTATTCTTTAAAATCTCTTTCCTTAGACTCGCTCTGTCCCAAGTTTTCTCTTAGCTTTTCTTTAGCATGATCTCTCTTAAAGTCTTTGCCCTCAGACTTGCACTGTCCCATCAGACTTCACAGTCCCATGTTCTCTTTATCTTTTCTTTAGCTTAGCTTTTCTAAAAGCCTATGTATAAAGTTCCCAGTGCAGACTTGTACTACGTTCTTGCAAACTGCCAACCAATTCTGTCAACCCCTCTTTAGCAGTTTCCCTTTAGCAATTCTCCTTCAGCAATTCTTTTCCCTTCAGCAGCCCTCCCTTCAGCCAGCAATTCATTTTCCCCCTTCAGCAATCCTCCCTCCAGCAATTTCCCTTCAGCCAAAAACTCTCACATCTTGCTTCAGTGAGTCTTTTATATCCAGTGGTAAACAAGGAGGTGGAGCAACGGTTTGGAGAGGGGTGTGACATTGTAACAGGAGAAACCTGTGATCGCTACTCTCTGAACTTAAACATCTTAGGAAAAGTAACTGAGCTGCATCTCGCCTTCATGATGTCTTTATTAGAGATTGTGATGACATCTTACACAAACACATATCTTATGCAGCTGGGGCTGTGCCAGATCTCAGCCTACAGATTTTTTGACATAAACATCTTAGGAAAAGCAGCTGCTCTGCATCTTACTCTAGCCTTATTCTGTGGCTGAGGCTGTGCCGAACTCAGCCTACAGAACATTGCGTACAACTGTGCTTCTCCTACTCAGCATCCCACACAGGCGTAGATTGGAGTAGGCTGCAAGACCACAAAATGGATCTGAAAATGTGTTTGTGTATGTCTATGCCTGGTCCTTAATTCATTTATTGGACATTTAGTAAGTCAGTTGCTGTGTGCCAGGAATTATTCATGGAATATGAAAATCAGCAGTGAATAAAACAGATAAAAATTGCTACCTGCTTGAAACTCAGTCAATGCTGTATATTCTTGTTTTCTTCTCTCTCACCCATAGTCATTGTGGAGATGGGGTGGTGAGGAATTAGGCTGGTCAGGACCCTGGATAGCTTATTGTTCTGAGATTGTGAGGTCAAGGTCTCTAACACTCCAGTTTATGTTTTTGTCCTCATGCTTGGTAGGCAGGTGCTCTACCACTTGAGTCACCTCAGTCCAGCAGTTTATCTTTTGAATCAAGCAATTCTGCAGAGCATTCTAGCCTCTTGTTGTAGCAAGACATTGGTCTTGTCTTTTTGTGTCTTTCTGAATGTGTGCCAAATGGTGGGCCTACAATTTTTGGCTCAGTTGAGAGGTTCCTCTCAAAATGATTGCACCAATTTAATTTTTGTACATGAAGTTTGTCATTTACCCATAATTCTGCCAGCACTTACGTTATCTGGGTTGATAATTTTTGACAATTTGGTTCTCTTACATCTATTTATCCATTTAGGTTTCCCCTTCTGGCATTGACTGTGTCAGTTTTTTCCTATATTATTCTGCCTTCAACTTGTTGATTGGCAATTCCTATTTATCTTATATTAATCCTTTAAAAGTTTCAACTGTCTTTCCCAAGTCAGCTACCTCTCTGTTAACTTTATCAGTGAAGTCCTTCATTGAAGACACATACTTAATTTTAATATAGTCATATTTACTAGTTTTCTTCCTTTAAAGATTATGCTGTTTTTGAAATCTTGTTTTAGAATCCTCTTCTGTTGTGAGGTTTTCGTTTACATTTTCTTCTGTTTGAATTTATTTTTTGTACTAGAACTTTAATTTATTTGGATATTATAAAGGGTTCTAATTTTTATTTTTTCTTCATGTGGTAAGACAGTTTTCTTAACATAACTTATTAAATAATTATGCTTTTCCCACTAAATACCATGCATCTCTATCATATTAATAGTTTTCTTATGAAATGGTTTTGTTTCTGGACTCTCTATTCTGCTGCATTGGTCTGTTTTTCTGCCTCTGAGCTGATACTGTACTGTTTGAATTACTGTTGCTTTGTAATACAGTCGTCCCTTGTTATCTGTGGGGGATTGGTTCTAAGATTCTCTAATACCAGAATCTGTGAGTGCTCAAGTCCTTTATGTAAAATGATTTGCATATAAACTACACATATCCTCCCATGTACTTTAAGACATCTCTGGATGACTTATAATACCTAATACAATGTAAGTACCATGCACATGGCATTATTCTATACTATACTTACTGGCTATTCAGCACATAGTTTTCTCCAAATATTTTTGCTCTTCACTTGGTTAAGTCCACAGATGCAGAACCCACAGGTAAGGAGAGCTGTATATTTTACCATCTGATAAGGAAGCCCTCCTTCCTTGCCTTTTTTTTTTTTCAAAATTTTCCCAGTGAATTGGCCATGTTCCCCCCGAAATCATTCTGGGATTTAAACTGGAATTGCATTAACTAATGAAATAATTTGTAGGAGAATTTATATATCTATTATATTATGTTGTCTCATTCATAAAAATACCATTTTCTTTAGTTGTTTCATTTATTATACCTTAATGAAACTTAATTTTTTTTTTATTCTTAACTGTAAAACAGTAGTTGAGAAACAAAAAACTGCACGGGGGGAAAAATACACCCAAACTTTTTTTTTTTTTATGATACTTGGGTTTGAACGTAGGGCCTTGCACTTGTAAGGTAGGTTCTTAGCCCTTCTCCTTCTTTTCTTTTCTGCTTTGTTTGTTTATTTATTTTTTTTTTGAGTAGGATCTAGCATTTATGCTCAGGCAGGAGCATCTTATTCATGCTTCCAGTGTAGTTGAGATGACTGGTGCACGCCACCATACCCAGTTTATTGTTTGAAATGGGGTGCCATAAACTTTTTGCTGGGCCTTGAACCGACCATTATCCTCCTGATCTCTGCCTCCCAAGTAGTGAGGAGTATGGCCTGAGCCACTGCACCTGGCCCTATCCTACTCAGTTTTTGTTACTGTTGTGCTGGGGGTGTATTGTGACATTTATAGTTCTTACAACTATATCATAATTGATTTCACCCCCTCCATCATTCATTCTTCTTTATCCTCTTCCCCCCATTCTTGGAATACTTTCAGCAGGTCTCATTTTTCCATTTTCATGCATGAGTGCATAATACTTCCACTACATTCACCCTTAGACACCCTTTCCTTATATCTTCCACCTCCTACTGGTACCAACGCCAGACAGGACCTGTTTTACCTCCCTGTTCTCTGTTTTTGAAAAAAGAGTCATTTTTTAATAAGCAACTTTTAATTACAAAATATATAAGCCAAAAGGGATATAAAATGTATCACTATATCAAAATAACTATAAGCAAACACCCATGTCTCTAACTTACAACAAGAAAACAAGCATGATCACATTTCATAGCTCCTGGGAGAGCCCTCTCCAGTTCCAGTCCTTTTTTCTTCCCCCAGTACTTTATAAGTTTGGTAGTATTATTCATTCCTTATTTTTTTTCTTTCATTTTTTGCCATTCACACATGTTTATAAATAGTATATTTCTGTGGAATGACTGCCTTTTGTCCATTTTCTATTAGTTGATTTTTTTCTTAGCAATTTTTAGGAATATTTTTTCAAAAACATATCTTGGAACTGAATAGCTTATTTTCTTTCTTTCTTTTTGGAGAGGTGTTTGGCTTTGTGTTCCAGGCTGGCCCTGAACTTGAGATCCTTCCACCTCAACTTCTTGAGTACTGGGATTATACACATGTACCACCAGCCCGACTTTGTGGTATTTTTTGATATACAAAAAGTCTTTCATTTTAATGTATAATTTATCATTCTTTTTCTTTATGTCTTGAACTTTTTATGTCTTATTTAAGAAGCCTTCATGAATCCTGAGATCACACAAATATTTTCTTGCATTTTTTTTAATATGGGTTTGTCTTTCTCACTAGACTCTTTTAATCCACTTGGGTTTGTGTCTGGTGTGCAATGAACACCCAATTTTAATTTTTTTCCACTTACAAAAATGGTCCTGGATCATTTGTTTAGTATTTTTTTATTTTCCCACTGATCTACTGTTTCTTATAAATAAGAATAGGCTTATTTTGGGATTCTCTATTCTGTTTACTCAATTTTAAAACAATTTCTATATTGATATCTTACTGAAGCTTTATAGTCTTAATAGCTGGTAGAGTAAGTTCTCCCATACTTTCTTTTCTAAAAAGTCTTGGCTATATTTAACTCTTGAATTTCATTTAAAGCTGAGAAGTATATTGTCAAGT